GAATACATCAAATTTAGTTGCTTAAATTAAACTACATTTTGTGATTATTTCTTGAAGTTTATAATTATTCAAACTCGGAAATATGAATTTTTGTCAAGTAATAAATTCTCAAGCCATGAATTGAAAATTTTCTACTTGCATACCACATGTAGCCAACAAAAACAACAGTTTATGAGAAATTGCCTGTGGTGTTTAAACCTTGATCTAAGAATTCTTCTTCAAGTATTTTTACACAGTAGTTATATATTTACATTGATAAAACCGTGACTTATTTTACATTATCATTGTTATATAATTTAATGAATTAACTAAGAAGTCAATGGAGCTAGAGATTAAATTCAGAGCTCTGTGTATGCTAAGTACACACTGAGTTGTACCCCAGACTTCATACATTTGTTCTTAAAAAGTGTGATAGACATGCACTGTCTGTATGTTCTGGGTGTATTCCTGGGGCATACCATGTTGCAGCAATGATCTGTTCTAGGTGCGGTAGCCATTACTTGCTGTTATATCATTACTGAATGTTTTTTTCCTGGTTTTAACTTTTCCAGCTATGTGTTTTCATTACCACAAACAAAATCTGTTTTATAAGCTCATATTTTCTATCCCCATCAGTGAAATAAAAATGGATTCCTCAAAGACAACACAGAAAATACATTATGGTAGCTGTTTTAGTTTTATTTCTGGTTGCTGTGATAAAGTTCTCTGCTTAAAGCAACTTAAGGAAGAAAGAGTTTGTTTGATTTACGATCCCTGGTTACAGCTGATCATTGTGAGTAAATCAAGGCAGCAGGAACTTGAAGCAGTTAATCAAATTACATTTGTAGTTAAGAGCAGAGGGCAGTGAATTAATGCATGCATGCTAGTGCTCAAAAACTCTCTCTTTTCGTCCAGCCCAGGGCCCACCCTTGAAATACAGTCACCCACATTCAGAGCCGGTCTTCTCACCTTAAATTAATCCAGTTAAGAAAGTCACTCCCAGGCATGGCCACAGACCAATGTAATCGTGGCGTTTCTTTAGTGAGGCTCTTTTCCTCAGTGACTCTACTTTGTGCCAAATGGACACTGAGGACCAAACAGCACAGCGATGGATGCTCTTCAGATGAAGAACCATAGTGGTTGAACTCACACTCTTTCTCCCAACAGTTTGATTTCACTGTCCATCTGTCTAACAACATTTGACTGATAAAGAAGGTTCAGGCTACTTTTGTCATTTATAATGTATGATTTTGAGGCAATTAATTAACCAGTGCCTCAGTTTTCTTATATAAATACTTGGGTGGTTACTATTATTTTCTTCATACAATTGTCATGTGGTTTTAAATGCATACATATGTGAAAAGCTTAGAGTAATACTAGTTATTACAATTTAAGCATTTTGATATTTCTTGATCTCTTTATTCGTATGGAAATTAATACAAGTTCTTGGACTGGAGAGTAGTTATCTAGTGATTGTCTAGAATACTAAGGTGCACTGAAGAGGTACGTTCTTTAATGAATGTGGTTTGTTGGGGTTGTCATGACATGGTTAGTGGTGAAGTGCCCATAGTTTTTAACAGAATTTGGTGGCATTTGCATGTAATCACTAGATAGAATTAATATCAAGTCCAGCCAGGTTAACATAGAAAGTTTCAGGCTAGTTAGGGCCATATAACAAGACTTTATAGATAAAGAAAATAAGGACGAAAAATAGAAAACACACAGTTTTTAAATAGTCTGAACTTCATGTTAAGTTTGTGTAAGGTTTTAGATTGTCCTCAATTCTCTGGTTTCACTTCTGACCATACGGCTCACCTTTTAAAATTAGCAGCCACAGTTATATGTTATAGCCTAAGATTTAGACCTTTAGCATGTATAATGGGCAACCCAAGGAGTCTGAGAGTGATCCACAATTAAGTATATCTTTCAGAAACCAGAAAATATATTGTGATGTTTCCTACTCTATGCAATAGGCAAAACTTACAAAATATTTTTCTGGTGAAATCTTACCATCTTAGAGAATTAATGTGACTTACCTGGAATCACACAGCTGATCAAGTAATAGAAAATACAGAACTGGTATCACATTTACTTTTATATTGACTTGGTAATTTTTATAGTTACAAAATCTATTAAATGTGACATTGTTTTAAGAAAAAAAAAGTAGCTTCAGGGGTGATGGGATAGTTTAGCTGGTGACTGTTCTCCAGCAATGCTGACCACCTGAGTTTGATTCGTGGAACCCACACAATGGCTTCCCTTGCAAACATTTCTCTAACCTCCATATGCACACTGCAGTGTGTGCCTCCTGAAACATCAGTAAATAATTTGTTATTCAATACCCATGATGGTTCTACTTTGGTAAAGCTACATTTTTATCACATTTAAAGCAATAGTCATTGATGATTGAGAATAAAGGTAATGTTAATAGTTGAAATTGTATTTTTTGAAAGTCTCAGAATCTTGGTGTTGGGTGGTTTGTATAATATGCAAGGAAAGTATAAAACTTGTCAAGAACTTTTTCTGAATGATTTTTTTTAAGGCAGGGTTTCTCTGTGTAACCCTGGCTATCCTGGAAGTAGTTATGTAGACCAGGCTGCCTCGGCCTCCCAAGCGCTAGGATTAAAGGCATATGCCACCGCTGCCTGGATTCTTAATGTTTTTTAAAAGTAATGTTCAGTTTTTAGTAAAGAATAGATGATAAAATTAAAATGCCTTTGAAATATATTTTAAGAATAATTGGTTTATTAGGATTTATTTTCATTTGTGTCCATACATGTGTCTATCTATGTGAGTGCATATGCCCTATATGTACAGGTACCAACTAAGACCAGAAGAAGGCATTGGATCCCTGGAGCTGGAGTTACAGGTATTTGTGTACTGTTCAACACAGGGGCAGGAATCAAATGAGGGTCTTCTGGAAGAGCAGTAAGTGATCCTAACTGCTGAGGTTTCTCTCCAGTCCTGGAAATAGGCCTTTTTGATAAATGTATTATCAATTTTTAGAAACTTGGATGAAGTATAAATGAATCCTTTAGCAAACACTGTGGGCAAAGACTTTTAAAATCATTAACGGCATGATTACTCAAAAACTGAAAGGGTTTATTTAAAGTGCAAGCTTATTAGTAATGAGTAAATGAGCCTCACAGTGAAACATTCACGTTCTTGTCCACAATCATTTTTCTAGCAAGAATCTATTTGAGACATATGTAAGTTAGTTTAGTGAGACTGTATTACATACTAATCCATTTCCAAATTCTAGACATAGCAATATAGGCCCCTTTCTTGTTCCTGTAATATATCTATTGCAGATTGATTTGGAACATGTCCTTATATTGTGGTGTTTTTTCTTATGTGGTCAGAGAGGAAGAAAATTATTGGAGGAACTGCAATGGTGCTAACTGTACTGCTTGGAGTGTTACAAAAGATATGAAAATCATATCTGACTGTTCAAACTATGTCACATGGTCAAGCCCGAGCTATAGGGGTAGGATTATATTTGTTTCCATGAAGGCTTGCAGAAAGAGTTCCCAAGGCACACAAATGAATAGTTAGAACTTTTACAACAGTACTGGCACCTAAGTTCTGGATAAGAACTATGTTCAATATAAATAGTATGGTTTTCTGTGAAGTGTGCTTTTCTCTTAAATTTATTTTACAGATAGATATCTATGTCTTTCTGTGCTTTATTATTGACTAGGAGCTAGTTTTTGTCAAAGCTAGTTTATATCAAAATTTTTCCTGCATTGCTTATGTCAATCAATTGTTGGAGTCAAAGATTTTGGCAATGAGAAATAGAATCCCATACGAAGCTTGTGTTATTGCAGTGGACAGGGGTATTGGGAATGCAGAGCCTGCCTCCGGGAAGCTGTATACAGAAGCATGGCCGTGCTCCTAGAGGGCTGAGTAGCTGCCAGCAGTTACTGACCTTCTTTCTGTGGCCACTCCTCTCTTTCTTTTCTTATATATGTGGTTTTCCTCCTTACTCATTATATATGGATGGACATTTCTGTTTATTTCCATTTATTTCACATTAAAAGATAGCTCCATGTATTACTTCTAAACCCACCAAGGACTTAACTATTATTTCCAAATCCCCATTCTGAGTTCTCAGAGGAGGGAAGTACCAGCTGGCTGAGGCCGTGACTAGCTGTGTTGGGAGAAATGTTAGTGCCTGTGTAGACAGGAAGTAAGAGGGAAAATTCCCAGGAAGAGGGTGGACAACACAAAAGCTGTCTGCTGCTCAGTGATTAGGTTTCTATTTCAATAAAAGGTTTAAAATGAAGTTTCATTATAAAACCCTCAGTCTTCAAGAGGAATGTATTTGAAAATTCTTTGGTTTATTTGTTTTTTTTTCCAATCTGCTGGAGAATTAAGTTCTTTGATAATGGTTTAAAGGCAACTAAACTGTCAGCTTTGAAGCTGTTAAATTGTTAAAGGAAGAAAGCATTGGGCATTCTCAAGTTCTTTTATAGGCTCTGTTCAAGCCTTACCCCAGAGACATTGTTAGGTCGATGCTCCAACAACACAGCTGGCACCTCCTGGAAGATCGAAGGCTGCTGTAAATCACGCATCTCTGAAACTAGGAGGCAGGGAGTAGGGGAGAAATCCTTACCGTCCTCTACAAAAATATCTCCCTCATTCCTAGACCTCATAATATGTAGTAGGTCTGTCTGTCAGTGTCGGTGCTCCTTCCAGGGCCATGAATTTAAACTGTGTCACCAGGGGACCAGGGTCCCTTTTGTGGATTGTTGGCCTTACTGTTAAAAACATTTTTTAAAGTATGTGGAAAGGAGCTCAAGGACTGCATGAGTTTCGGAGCAAACGAGCAAGGCTAGCTGTTTACAGTCACGGATGGAAAAAGGAGTCACTGCTTTTGAATTAGAACCTGTGTGGTTGGAAGGAAAATGGCTCCCAAAGGGCGTGAAACTAGTAGGAGGTGTGGCCTTGTTGGAGTGGGCGTGGCTTTCTTGGAGGAAGTGTGTCACTGTGGGGGTGGGCTTTGAGGCCTCCTTTGCTCAAGCTGAGCTCAGCTTTGCAATCCACTTCCTGTTAAATTGTTAAAGACCTGTTGCCCTCAGGTCAAGATGTAGGACTCTCAGCTCCGTCTCCAGCACCGTGTCTGCCTGCAGGCCACCATGTCCCACCCTGAGGATAATGGACCAAACCTCTGAAACTGTAAGCTACCCTCAATTAAATGTTTTTATTTAAAAGAGTTGCTGTGGCCATGGGGTCTCTTCACAGCAATAGATGCCCCAACTTAGAAAGAATCCAAGGCAGTGGGCAGGTACAGCAATGGAGGTCTGTCAGCAGGTTAGAGAGGGACAGAAGAGAGGAGTGAGGATGTTTACACACGGTACAGTCTCAAGGCAACTATGCTTGGGATTTTGGTCTGAATTCTAAAAAGAGGAGAGGCTATGTTATTTTTATAGGTAGAGTTCAGAAAAGTAGTCTAGTTTCACCTTCATTGGAGGGGTCTCAGGGTATATCTAACTCCACTATCTCATCATGGACACAATTATTCCTCCCACCCTAGTGTGTCTTCAGGTGAATTCTCTTCCCTGAAAAGAGATCTCCTGGTGAGTTTTTCTTAGTTAGGGTTTCTATTTCTTTGGTAAAGCATTATGACCAAAAGAAAACTGTGGAGGAAAGGTTTATTTCAGCATACGGTGCCACGGAATTGTTATCAATGATGACAATCAGGATAGGAACTTAGAGAAGGAATCTGGAGGCCCAGAATGATGCAGACGCCATGAAAGGGTGCTACCTTCTGGCTTGCTCCCTCCTAATGGCTTTCACATGCACGTTCTCTGTCTCTGTTTCTGTCTCTGTCTCTCTGTCTGTCTGTCTGTCTTTGTCTGTCTGTCTGTCTGTCTGTCTGTCTGTCTCTCTCTCTCTCTCTCTCTCTCTCTTGTTCTCTTGCTTTCTTATAACACCAGGAGAACCAGCACAGGGTTGTAACTGGGCTTCCCACATGAGTTATCAATGAAAAAAAATTACCAAGGGGTTCCCTCTTCCAAAATGACTGTAGCTCGTGTCAAGTTGACATAAACTAGCTAACACACCGGCCAATTGTGAGAACAGAAATATGTCCGTGTAGTCTTATGTTTTGGGTAATTTAGAATGTCATGTCTCCATTCGGGGTCAGATGTAGAACTGAGAATCTAATTTATTGACTAAGAGGAAGTACTTCTTCATTGATGGACCTCGACAAAATTCTGATACCTACACCATTCTCAATTTCGTGTGGTATTTTAGATCTTAATGAGAGGCAAAGGTGTTATGAGGATATGATCTACCTCAGGTGGATTTCAGTCCTGTAATTCCTGTCTAGCTGCTTCACAGTTGCAGGAGCTGATGTCCATCCAATGGCCTCCTAGCCTCTATGTCTACCTTAGGTGGGACGCCAATCTTGTACTCCTCGTATGGATGCATCACAGCTACAGTAGTAAAGCAATTCCAAGTGTCATTTGTGTTTTCTTTTTCCCTCTACTTTTCATTTAGAAGTTGTTCTAAGCCTAAGAAAGACAGAAAGCGGTTAGAACACCGAGGTTCCCACCTTTTCATCAAGCAGACTTTCAGTTGTTGACCATTTAATTGCATCTCTCCATGGTGCTTATATCTTCCTGTGTACATTAAATGTTGTTTTCTTGAAAGAAAATTTGCTGGTTCCTCCCAAAAATACTGCCTGTGCTGCTGCCATGTCTTGCTTCCTCTGTGTTGTACCAACTCAGTTTTTTTTTTGATCTTATTAAAACACACTAGTTTAAAAAATGTGAATGAGCACCAAGGATCAGAAGCCCTTTCAGTCTCCTGTTAAACCAGAGGTATAGGTTTCCCTTTGTCAGAAAAAAAAACAGCAATGGCAACAACAAAAAACAAAAATCCAAAAACCTGTCAGCTGCTTGCTCAGAAAATGCTTTTGGCAGCATGCTGTTATTTGTTTTATAGGCCATGTGCTTGCACTGTTTCAATCGCTCATTTTCTTAATTTTTTATTTTAAAAAATTCCGTACAATACATTTTGATCACGATTTTCCGTTCCTTTAATTCCTCTCAAGTCCTCCCCACATCCTTGCCCCACTCACCTTCCTGCTTTTTCTCTTGTCTCCTACATCCTGGAGAATTATTTATAGCCAACAGCAGGTGGCAGTGGTAGCTAAGGTTGTGTTTCTGGTAGGCAGCTTGAAAAGGCTTCATCTTTCAAACCATTGTGAGTAATGCCATTAGCAACGAATACTTAAATAAAGACGCCTATTTGTCTCTAATTAAATTCATTTTAGAATTACCTTAGAAATAAGTTGAAAATTGTTTGGTAAATGTATTTTAAATTGATGTTTTAGACATGGAATTTTGTTATAATTGTGGCTCAAGTAATAGAGAATACCCTGTTGCTCTACCCCCTTTCTTGCCTATTTATAACCATAAAAAGAGAACATTTTTCAATTAGAAACATTAGGCAGCTTAAAGTCTGTTCAGATTTATAGGAGGAATGCCACAGCAACATCATTTATTTCTATTGATGAATCCTGGTTGTTTTGAAAATTTATGGCAAAGTTCAGTAAAGCTATTTTAAAATGAAACTACTGTGGTTCAACAGGGTAACAGTTTTTAGAACATTTAAATTGCTCTTGACAGTTATGAGAGTAACCAAAAAGTCTTCTGTTATTTGTTGCAGGAACCACAATTTCTGTTACAACTCTCTCTTCTTCCATTTCCAGGAAAACTAATTAAGAAAGACAATTTTATCTTCATTATGTTTTCTATTTGATCTTTTCATGCTTTTGTTCATTTTACTTGCAGCAATGAAGACTTTTTGAGGATGGCATCAAAATCTATTTCATGTGGCTAGGATTTTGATAATTCAATATGGGTTTTCAATGACTTACATATGACTTAGCCAAAATTTCATGCTTACATGTCCATGTAGCACTTAGATATCAAGTTTTTTGTTATTAATAGACAGTAGGTTGATTTTTGTTATTAATGTGTTTGTTTGGCTTATAGGGAACCCAGAACACCTAAAATCAGAATAGGATTCTAAGGTTACACTGTTTAGTGGCGTCATTGCTTCAGTGAAGAATCTGAGCTCCAGGACAGACTGCAATGAAGGAAAGACAGTGGTGTGGAGAGAGAGACCTTGTGATGGTTGTCTTGATCTCAGCTGCCAGGAAGGATGCAGATGGAAATTGTTTTACTTCATCAAGTTTTTAGGACACCTGCTTTTACTAGGTCTTGTGTTTCTTTTTAGGAAGGAAAAGAGTTAGGGATACAGATGTAGTTTGGTAGGTAGAATACAGAAAGCTGTGGGTTGTGTCCCAAGTACCGTATAACATGGGTTAGGTGGTACAAATCTGTAATCCCAGGATTTAGGAGGTTGGGGCAGGAGAATCAGAAGGTTAGGCCTATAGTTGGTTACATTGTGACATCTAGACTCGGGGGAAGAAAAGAAAAGAAGAGAAGAAAAGAAAAAAGAAAAGGTATACAGAAAGAAAAAAAAGATGGCATTCTTTCCCCAAGAATCATTTAGGCTAGCTGTTTCCCTAATTACCTGATTGATCTCCTGTTCACATTTGTTTGATGTGTAATTAAATTGTAGTGAGTCTTTTTGTACCCCACATTCTGTGCTTATTTAGAAGCACCCTGTATAGTTACAACTTTTATTGTCTCTACTTTTTAAGACTCTAAAGGAAAAACTTGATAAACATCTAAACCACAGTAAAATCTAAGAGCAAGTCATCAGGAGACTTGAGGAGGGCAAAAAGATGTAGGTGTGATTGCTGAGTCTCAAGGACCTCACCCCCCCAACAATAAAGATACAATTAAGTCTTAGCTTTTCTTTCAACATGACATTAGAAGTAGGAAGTAAGATGTTAACTGTCTATGCATTATTTATAGGATAAATCATTTTCAAATAGAAACACTGTTTCTTAAGAAGACATCAATAGTTTATTGATTTGATTAACTCAAGCACTCATGTTTTGGATTACCTTCCAAATTTCATTATGATTACATTCTTTATCCTTATCCTATTAAAAACCCATTATTTACATACAGTGGTACTTACTAAGGTTAGGAAAATCACTGTTTCTTGAAAAGTCTTATATCAAGTGTACAGTCAAATGAAAGTACCTTAGAAATAGAATTTTATTATTTGTCCTGTGTAATCTATGACTTAAATTACGGCACAACTTATTCCAAATCAATGTAATGAATTGATTTGTAAATATTTTAGGCTGGGCAGCTTTCTTTGGATTTTTGTCTATTGAATGTGCACTGCAGTTAAATCATCCTTTTGTGCATAATTAAGTCTATGTTCTTGGTCTTTCACAGAGTTTAAATGTCTCTTAAAAAGCAAAAGTGTATGTTAAAGCAATATTATGCACACCCATTATTCTTAGTCTTATAAATATTGAAACATAGTTTTTTTTCTATGTGTGTGAGAGAAATAGAAGAGAAAATAAATGTGAATTCCCTTGGCTTTAGTGTCCTTTTCTGAGGACATTTTATTTAAACTATTTTAATTCTTGAAAAACCTGAACCTAATGCCCCCAAGTGCCTAAATTGTTTGAATACACAGTGACTTTCATTATGTTTGTAGCTATGGTTATGTTTAATTTATAGCATATGACAGGAAGTAGAAAATATGGTAATTTGAATTTTGAGAATCCCGAAAGCATTTGCAGTTAATGCATAAATGGAAATAGATGCTGTGAAAAATAAATTCAAACGATCTGCATTGAGCGTAGTCTGTACTACAGGCACTGGGCTACTAGTTTTGTGGTGTCTGAAAGATACCAAAATAATTCCATGATGCTAGGACATTTTATCACAATGAAAAAGGAGAGAATTGTTTATAATAATAGAAAATAATTTTGTAACTATTCAGTATGAAAGGTGTAATTCTAAATAAGTAAATAGCAATATTACATGACTAATTGAAGGGCCTGGAACTTTATGTTAAGTAGGTAAGAACTCCTAAGTAAGTCAGCTTGGGAACAACTTCTATTGACTTCCTAAAAAGCCTATATAAGTATGAGCATATTTAATAGCTATATAACTTGAATATATACTCAAATGGTACAGAAATCCAAGTTATTGGAAGTTAGTACTTGACATGAGTTTTAGTCATCAGGTGTTCACACAGTAAACTTTTATTGAATGTGTTCACAAGGTGCATTTTAACAGTGGTTATTCTCAGTGCCCACTCACAGAGCATATTTAGAGTTCTTAAAAGATGTATACTTTCTTAAATATTAAGATACGTTTCAATATTCAGTACTAATTATTATGAAAGAACAAATACAGGACAATACTGGTGCTGATCATGTGTCAATGTCATAGGATTCTCAGTGTTTATGAGATAGCAATGTGGGATCATGTACAATAGCATACGTGTTTGTATTGTGAGACAGGTGTCCCCACTCTCTTTAGGATATTAGAATTTGGAAGTTCGGTTCATAGAAGTTTAACTTTGGAAGAATGTTTCTGGAGCCACAAAACTTTACGTTCTTATGTGTGTATTATCTTCTGTTTGTATATAACACACACAGAGTTATACGTTGCCATACAAAATAGGACTTTGAAGAGTTTGAGAGCCTTGGAAGTCCTGATTTTGTCTCACTCTAGAAGTGACATTTCAGGCAGACCACTCAATTTCAATTTTTTAAAAATTAATTATCTATCTATCATCCATCCATCCATCCATCCATCCATCCATCTATCCATCTATCCATCTATCCATCTATCTATCTATCTATCTATCTATCTATCTATCTATCTATCTATCTATTAGTTTCAGTGAATTGTGTGCTTGTGTGTCTACATGTGGGTGTGTGCATGTAAGTCTAGGTGCCCTCAGAGGTCAAAGAGGGTGTCAGATCCCTAGGAGCTGGAGTTACAGGGGTGGTAAGAGGGCACGCATGTTTACTGGGAACAGAACTCAGGTTCTCATAACCCAAGCCATCTCTTCAGCCCCAATTAACTTTTAAATTTTACTTATAATTTAGGAATTAATGAAAAATTTAATTAGTGAAAAATTTAAGTATATTTCACTTTGATCCTATTTTGTTTTCTGTCTCCCCAGATGTCACTCAGTTAGATGGGATTTCTTCATTCTTGCCTACTTTGTGCCCTTAATGACAGTATTGAAAGTTATTTATTTATTTATCTGTTTATTTAATTTAATGTGGGTCTCATGTGGAACAGGTTGGCTTTTAAGACACTGTAATTAACCCTGACCTTGACCTACTAAGGCTCATGTATTCATCTCCCAAGTGCTATGACTGCAGGTATACACTGCCACACCCAAATAATAGTTTCATTTTGAAACCCAAATTTTTGCTTCCCACATACACACAGACAGACACACACAGGGTCACACTTCTGTAGGACATCAAGCACTTTTCTTCTGAAAGTATGCTTGTAATTTAAGTTAGGAATGTGAGATTCAGAAAGAGCCTGTGCTGTACTTTTCCAACATGTAACATTAGCACAGAAAGAAAAGAAAATCACACAGGAATGCCACACTTGTCATAAACATTTCAAACAGCAGTTCTATGATGTGATCAGCTTCATCAGTTTTTATCAGAAAGCCTGTGTCCTTATCACTGTCATCAGCATGAACTCAGGAATTAGGCTTGTGATGAGAGATGTGTATGAGTCAGTTATGTAATGGACTTGAATGTAATAGATACAACTAAGTTCATTATTTGCCATAATGAATATTTGCTAATAAAATTTAGGAGATCTTTGTTATTAATTTTTATTATTTCCTATGTGTTACATACCCATGAAAGTTTACTGAAGTAAGGAGGGTGATTTTCATTATTGATACCAAATGTAATATTATTTATAGGTAAAGGAGTTTAATGTTTCTGTGACAGCGTATAGCTAAGTTACAAAGACAGAGTGTGTGTGTGTATGTGTGTAGTATGTAGTCTTGCTATCTATATTTCATGAGAAATCCTCATTTCCATGATTGCTTTCCCACCATTCTTCTTAGGATGCTGGACTGATCACAGATCATTTCTGTGTCTTGCACAAACAGGCTCAGATAGACCATAATGATTTTATCATTTTAGTATCAGGAAATAGGAACTGTGATATCAGTTGGTGGTCTTACTGTTGAGTAATTTTGTGCCTAGAGGCAGAATCTTAAATTCCCTATTAGTTTGTTAATGTGCCAAACACAATTGGAAAATATAGTGTTTCCTAATTATGATCCTATTTCAAATCTACATATTTCTATTTTTTCAACAGTGTGAAAGGGTGTGAGCTTCAATTAATGTTTGGGATTATGAAGGTTTGGGATTATGAAGATTATGAATGTGCAAAGTGTGTAAGTGTCATTATTTTAATAAAATTAAAATTTATAGGATAAGCCCTTTGAATAGCCTTGAATAACTTGTTCTTAATAAAGAAAACCTGAAAAATGACCATTAGAGGGTGCAGGGGCATTGCAAAAAATGAAGCTCTTCCCAGAGTAGAGGATAGCTCAGAGTCCATTGTCGTCACCAAACGCTTAACATTTCAGAAAACATTCAAACCTTTAAGAGTATGCCCTTGAACATGTGATGGGTGTGTACTCCTCTGAAGATAAAACGACCTTTATTGCTTGACTTCTTCTGTCTGGGAAAATTGTTTCCTTAGTAGTTTTGAAGAGTTTAAATGCAGTAAATTTGCAAAGTGGTATTAAAGGGGGTAGAAGATGAATTGTAGTTGCTGGTATTCAAACAGCTTTGGGCTTCTTAAAGTCATAAATTACCATTTTAGAAAATTTTAGATCCTCACTCTTGCTCCTTTATCTGTAATAATGACATTTGATTGAGGACAGGCAATTGACTCTTAGAAAAAACTTTGGGAAATTTTCTGGAAGGCCAAAATGCTGAAAAACATTTTAATGAAATACAATATGAAAATTCCCATTTGTTTTCAATTTTTGGTTTTAAAATTATTTGCCAGGTTTGTGGAACAGATCTGTAGGCTTCACTAATAGAATCATCAAACCTCTGTAAATTAAAAAGAAACAGACCTAGGCTAAACAAAATACAATAGATTTATAAATATTGCTAGATTGACAGAAGGAAAATGCAAATTGCTTCTAAATGTGTAGTAATACTTTGTAAGTTTTCATTGTGTGCTCGGTCTTGTTGTTCATTTAGTAATTTTAACTTTTTTTCAATGTAGTAGATTTTGCTTATTTTTTTCTGTGATAAAGATAGAAATTTTTGAGTACTATGTTTCCTATAAGTTATGAGTAGAAACATATATAAATTGTTTGCTGAACAGCTAATTTTAAAGTTTTACCTGAAGGAACTACGTTAGAAATGATCTTGGTTGTGATTTTATGTTAGTTTTTAAAAATAAAATCTACTTTTTAGGTGACTCATAGGAGATAATGAGTCAGTGAAGATTTTTCTTGTTCTTGCATTGTAGGTTGTCATCAACAAAATTAATGCCCCAAAGCTTACAGTGTTCCTTATATTTTTACTGTCAGCATCCTTCAATCACAGGAAGACCCTGAGAGTCTTCCTTCTTGTTTCATGACCATTGTTCATAACAGCTTGGCTAAGAGAAGGCCAGGTAACCTGGCTCTCAATATTGGCATAAATTTGGGAAGCAAATTTACTGAATTTGCTCATAGAAATGAGTGTCTAACTATAGCCCAGGGTTCTAAGAATAGCAGAGCCCCTGCTTTTACCCCTGAGCAGTTGCATTACAGACAGGTAATTATAGAGAATTCTTGGGGTGGTAAAATACACCACAGAATTATATGTGAATGCTAGAAATTATCACTGGAGTTTGTGGTCATGAGCTCCTCCTCTGACCTTCACATTTATAGCTGAAATAGAGGAAGATGGTTAGTTTAGAGAATAAATTAATCCCTTTTTGAACTTTTAAAACTTTATTTTAGCTGTGATTTGGAAGACCCAAAGTTTCCAGAATTAAAACACATACAATAGAATACAACCCTCCAAATATCAAAAACCGCAGTTATGTAGCTTAAGCTATGGATATTATACGCATAGGCAATGCTATTCTGAAATAAAAAGGAAAACTGTTACATCAACCCACATTTCATGCCTGAAGGACAGAGAGGTTAGGTAAACTGGAATGGCTGGGACAAACTCTCTACAAGGCTATAAGACACATGTCCTCTAGGTCTAGTCCAACCACTTAGCAATAAGTTACTATCTACCAGGCATCGATCAACCAATTCTTAGCTATCACATCTATAGAGATAGGCTTTTAGTTGACAGGTTTTCTTCTTATGATATACTCTGATCATTCTTCCTCCCCCAACTCCTCCCAGATCCTCCTCACCTCCCCACCCACCAATTTCCAAGCGTTTTCTCTTTAGGAAACAAACAGGCAAACAAACAAACCAGAATAAAAGCAAAACTCAAAGTAAACTTGCGTGAAACACACACACACACACACACACACACACAATCCATAAATGTGTTACTCATTGACCATTGTATACATGAAAGACTAATAAGATGAAAAAATCCCCCAAACAAAGCAATATAGGACAAAGATCTACAAATCTACCATTAAGTTCATTTCATGCTGACCAGCTACTGCTGGGGATGGGGCCTGGCCTTAAGTTAATATACCCAGACTGCATTGGAGAAAACAGATTTTCTTTGGCAAGTGGTTGTTAATAGGAAATAGCTTCCTGATGAGGGCTGGGAGCCCATGTTGTCTTCTTCCCTCTATTAGTGCAGGCACAAGGAACTTAAAGGGGGTCAAATTGTTTCCTTTGAGAGTCTGTGTTTTTTCAGAATCCAATGGTATCTTAGTGCTTACACAAAAACACTGTGTTCATACTGAGTAATTTCTGGGAGGGTCATACTCAGGTATAATGGTGGTATGAAGATACTGTATTTTCTAGTTTCTGTGGACTATTACTTCATATAGTTCATTGTGATATTTTGGCATAATGTATAGAAATAGTAAGTTAATTTTGATTCTTAAATATAGCAGGTATGCCAGAGTGGCTCAGGATTTCATTTTTAAGAAGAGGAAAAAGAAACCAATACTGGAAATAATTAGTTGATGTTTAAAAGGAATAGTTTCATATTTATACTGTAAATTTATCTTCCCATGCCCCTACACAGTGAAGACAGCCAAATACTATTTAGTTCATTCACTAACCTTTCTTAAGGATGCCACACTCTCCATCAAGCTCAGATTCATGGCTAGTCTCCTAAAAGGTGTCCAGGAACAGGAAATCTATAAGTTACATGGTGACTCAATTTTAGCAAGGAAGAACCCTCATATATTTAGACAAGAGACTATGAATGTAATTTCTGCTTGATGTAAAAGGGATTATTTAAGACGAGCCTTCCAATAACATAATTTCTTCCATTCCTTTATGGAGAAGATACGTGGTATCCTATTTCTTCTACTCATTTATGGAGGAGATACATGATATCTGGTGTATTCAACATTTTTCTTATGTTCTGACTGAAATGATTTTTATCTCATGACCATTACATGAAAAAGAAAAACAAGAATAGTTGCTAGGTAAGTGTGTAATTTGTGAGAATGGGATGTTGGAAATATCTGAGTATCTTCTTTATGACTTACTCTCACAAACCAACAGCAATAACAACAACAACAACAACAAAAACCCTATAGTTCTTTGATCAGCTGTCCTGGAAAGAACTTGAAAGGATGAGGTTGCATTGGATTACATTCTCAATGAAGTCTCAGGGTTGAGTGGATAGGTGGTGGGTATAGGAATGACATTCCCAGAAGAATCAGAGTGTAGACTGGCCTTAGTAGTATTTTAACTCCACCGTTCTGAAGTTTTCTGGCATGTTGGGGTTGATAAACCTGAGCTGTGCAAAATTGAGCCATTATAATTTCTGAAGTTACAACAAATAGGATTATTTTAAAATTACAGTTCAGCAGAGGGATTTACATATTTATGTTACTCTTCATCTGTAATATTAACAGTTGCCATATCTTCTGATTGCAGAGTGGGAAGGGCAGCTCTCTTGCTGCAGTGTACTGTGAGGAGCAAGGCCATCTGCCCCTGGGCCAGTGAAGGGCAGGGCTCGCTCAGCATGACCCTCTGATTTCATCACACATGAGTCCTATGGCTCCCTGAAGTGACAGGGGCCACAGACATCAACACAGATTGCACCTGCAGCAGAATCATAGATCCCAGGTGCAGACCACTCAGATCAGCTTGAGCCCAGAAGCTGTGTTCCCTCAGACACTAACATAGCCCCAGATCTCAGACATCTGCATGGCCTTTGAGTCATGGGTGCCCACAGCAGCTCTAATCTGGGAGTCTCCAATTTCCATTACTTATCTTGACATACAAAGAGATTTTTGGAACATTTATACTTTATTTATAAATGAAGATTTTGAACTCCTAAAGGTTCAATAGACTGGCTTATTCATTGTTGTATTCAGAGCACAAAGCATAAAATTTGTGTTCAATCAATGCTAAACAAATATCCTCCAATTATACTTCTCATTTACTGTCTAGACTGACTTACTCAAGTTGGTTGTAACAGATTTTTTTGCTGATGTTTCATGCTATTTATGTTACTTATTTTATGTATTTTAAAATGTGTGTTTATATAGTTTCTGTTGTGAATAATATAATTCACATATGTTCACAATATAAATTCTTAGAGAAGCAGTGTTTCCTCCCCTTTCTTTTTCCTTCCTGAAGAGTTTTTAATTTTGTGTGTGTGTGTGTGTGTGTGTGTGTGTGTGTGTGTGTGTCTTGATGAAGGTCAGAAGTGACTGTCATTGCCCTTGAAGCTGTAGTTGACAGGAATTTTGCGAGCCATCATACGTAGGTTCTAGGGTCCAAGCTCTGGTCCTGCGATAGGGCAGTAAGACCTCTGGTCTTATAAAATTAAAAACAGAAAGGTCTGAATTGCTGAAGCATCTCCTCATTCCCTTTTATTTTTTTTTGATATACAACTATTTTGAGAATTTGAAGGCAGATAAGATTTCTAATACTATAATGATTAATGTCTACTTTATTACATAGTCACATGTGATTATATTGACTACATGTAAAACAGCCAATTTATGCATATTTTGATATATAAAGTAAGAGAGTAATTAGTTTTCTTAAATATTAACTAGATGTATATGTGCAAAACTCAGTTTATACTTTCCTTCTGTTTGAGGAAAACATAAACAGCTAAAAGGACATTATTTTTGTAAAGAAGCAGAATTCACTTTTAGGAGAAACTTGATAGGTATGTCGTTTTTTCCTGTGTCAGTGATGTGAGGTTCTAAGACCCCACAAGCACTTGTGGGCCTTAAAATGTCATTCTCACTCGTGTCAGCAAAAGCTGACTCAGTCTGTGGTGTCACTCATTTGCAGACCTCTTTTCCTTCTCTTTCACTATTCACACTCCTTTAAACTACTCACTCATTCTCAAGATAAATTAGTCCTCATGTAAACCGAGGTTATCTTTAACTAGTATGTTGCTAAGCTACTTGGGTTTATAATAGGAGTGTAGACTCAAATGAGCCCATATATGATGAATTAATTTCTATTGTGCCCGTCCCCAACATGACCCCTAGAGGTTCCATTACACTCTGAATGCACAGTTCTGCCCCACCCTCGCCTCCTCGGCCATCGCTCATTCAGGTTCAGCATGGTTCACCAAAGAGAATGCCCTCTTCCGCATATCTTCCCGAGTTTCACTACACTGCCAGACCTGTATATGGTGGTTTGCTCCCCTCCCTATGATACACTTGGATAGACAGGAGAACTCTTGGCTATTGTGAGTTAAGCAGTTATTACTCACTCATTTCATTAGTACAGCTATCCCATAGAACAGAACTTAAAATAATCACACATTTGTAACTGCTTTCTCTGCTGGAAATCACTAGTACAAATGACACCATGCTTTATGCCCCTGTTTGCCTAAATCACTTTTAAAAGGCTCAGAATTAGATTATACATTGCTACCTGGGCTTATGACACATAATCCTAGGAAGGATAAACCCACCACTATCTTTCTTTCTCTCAGTATTCCAATCTTGTTCACTCTGCTCTTATTGCATCATCAAAGTTTAAGGCTTCTTGTGTCTTCAGTTTCCTTCTTGAAAGTCTGTTTGGCCTCTCTCACTACACCTAGCTCTCTCTAAGAACACTGGTAACCTTACTTTTTGCCAAAGTGCCTTCCTACTGAGGGTGTCTTCCATTTTTTTTGTTTCTGCTAGATCACCCATGTCTCCTTGTTTCCGCAAAAGACACAGTTCTCTGAAGCATATCTCTTCTTGAGTGTCTACCAAGTTCTTCTGCATTTATTGAAGTTTTGGGCACCCGGATTGCCATGAGAGACTTCACTAGTGGATGAACCCACCACAGACTGCTGAGCTCCTCCCAAGCCTCACAATTCCTGACCCTAGCTCTACCCATGCCATTCCCTAGACTGTGTGTTACTAATAGTTACATTGCCATCTGTAAGTTAACCTTGACTGTCAGCTTGATTGGTCCTGGAATCACATAGCTGGTGCATCCCTGGATGGGTCTGGGGAGGTCTTTCCAGAATAGATTGACTCAAAGGGTAAGACATTTTGCCAAAGTTAGTATACACTTTCAGGGTATAAATAAGCCATGGGGGCATGGGGGTGGGGGGGCAGTGCTTCTTGCTTGCCTGTTCTCATTTATTGCTGATGAGTACATCACCCTGATTATTGCTATTACTGCTATCGTTTATTATACCAGCCATTACCTTACCGGCCTTCCAGTGTAGACTAAGGACAAAAGATTATTAAAGCTCCAGGCCTATATTAAAAGATTGAAACTCCCAGGCATCTAGATTCGTGGATTACAGATGCTAGATTATCATCCTGTCTATCAGGCAACCATTTCTTTGACTACTTAGCCCTGATTGTGTAAACAATGAACAAAATCACTATATATGTATAATTATGTCATATATATACATCTCAATGTATTTATAATCTGCATGTATATATGTATATTCTGTTCCTCTAGAACCCCCTAATCAACTGTCAAAACGCTAATTTCAAAAACCAGATATTAGTATTATTTCCTGCTTGAAGGAAACTCCATGGCTTACATAAAACAATTAATAAATCTTGTAATCCAGGTTTAAGACACCCAAAATGGGGCTCCCAAGCTCAAGACAGAAGTATAATCAGAGCTGAGCTGCTTTTCTTATAGGAGATAATGTTTCCTCAGCTTTCTCAGCTTCTGTGGTCATCTGTATGCTGTGGCTAGTGACCCTCATTCCCTCTTCAAAGTCAGCAGCAGCACAGCATCTCCTCTTCTCACAGCATCTCCTCTTCTTTCTCACAGCATCTTCTTTTCTTACAGCATCTTCCTCTTCTTTCTCACAGCATCTTCTCTTCTTATAGCATCTTCCTCTTCTTACAGTATCTTCTCTTCTCACAGCATCTTCCTCTTCTTACAGAATCTTCCTCTTCTCACAGCATCTTCCTCCTCTTAACAGCATCTCTCTCGTTGGCCTTCCCTTGGCTCCCTAAGCCTTGTGATTTCCAAGATACACAGCACACAATATACACAGCACACAAGATACACAAGATACACAGCACACAATATAGAAGACAGACTATATTGAAAAGTGAAAATTGGAATACCCTAAAGGGATATGGGTGGGCATTGGTCAAAGAGTTCATGGTAGGAGGAAATCTCCCAGAATGAGAATGTGGAATGGCCTGAGAAATCATTGTATAGGACTCACTCTTAAGAGGTCAGAGTGAACAGTGTTCAAAGGAATCATTGTGCCAGCTTTCATTTTTAGGTTGGCTTTATAATACTTCAAGTCTCCAGAACAGATGGCTTTACCGAAGAGGCACTTTCGTGTCCAGATGACAGAGAGACCAGTTCAGATTAATTCTTAAGGAAAAGGACAGTGATGTATCTTTCTTCTTTAACTGAAAGTCTCTTATGACAAAGTGACTTAACAGTTTTTGGGAAACTTCATACTAAATCTTTTGGAAAAGAAATGACAGTATTTCCTCCCTTCTTTTACATGGCATTTGAAGTTTTAAAGGGAAGGATTTGATAGTCATCTCTTTTTCTACCTACCATTGTTTTTTCATTTATAGAATTAGTGCATTAACAGGGAGGTAGGGTATAAGTGGATTTTGAAGTATAGGTTCAGTTTCACTGATCTCAAAGCTGGCAATTTCTAACTACCAATTGCCTGTGGAGACCTACTGTTTCTATTGTATGTTTTGGTCTCTTTATTTCCACGTTTTTTTATCTTTAAGATTATGTAAGACCCAATCAGATAATACAAGAAAAGATCTCCACATAAAAATCCTAATTCAATTGGATTTACAGGCTCTCTTTTGCCATGTAGGTAAGGTAACATAATCACAGGTTCTAGGTAACAGGATATAGATATCTGGGGTAGGTTATTATGCTTTCTCTCAATGGATTATCTGTGATCTCCAGGTCACTTACCCAATCTCTTTCTCTTCCATCACTGTAATACTTACTTATTTTTTTATCATTTTTTATTTTAATTTTAAATAGCTTGTTTTACATGTCAATTATCTTGATGGATTTGGATTCTCCTTATCCAGTTTATATACTAGAATCTGTTAGTACAATTGCTTCCTGTAGACACTTCCATTGTTTCTCTTCCCATGCCCTCCTCTGCTCCCGCCTTCTGCAACTCTGTCTCTTCTGTATCCCTTACTCCTGCTTCCATCCAGATGGAGAGATTTTAATGACAGGCCTTTCGTGTCTCTGTTATCTCCCATTTTACACTAGGGTACCAGCAGTGACTTTGTTTACTTATGAAACTAGAAGGGATTCGGAACATCTCTTTCTAGCCATTTGGGACTGGCTGACTACTGGAAGCTTGAGTCTCCCCAGACCGCTTTCTACTATGCTTCTGTGAGAGGAGTCTGATTTGTGGGACCTGTGCAGTTTTCTGACACTGAGAATCAATGCCTTGGTGTGGTCTCTCTAGTTTAGGGTATCAATGTTGAGATGTCAGGTCCACAGGCCTCAGGTATATCACTAAATCAGCATTATCAATAATAATGGGGGCATTAATTTTCTTATTTATAGTCTTTCCTCAATGAAAATACAGCTCTGTGTGTTGTTTATTGAGTTTCATCACCAAATTCTGTGCAATCTGACTAAAACTTCACTCCTGATTACCTTGTCTCATTTTTTTTTTATTTCACAATATTTCTCTGCATCAGAACTCATGTACTTATTTGTTTCCTATGTTAAATATGGGGTCAAAAAGTGTAGAGGTTTGCCTCCATTTCCAGTGGGTGAAATTGTTTTTATGTTTTGCAAGATTCTCACTGTGTGTCAAAAAATTGTTGAAGAAATAATCATGAAAACATTTTCAGTAACAAAGGAGTTCAGTTTATTACAAATACACCAATTCTCTATTGTTCAGTGTAATTAGTTGACAAAAAGTAAAAATAGCCATTGCTTGAATATTTTGGTTTTAATCTTAAAGGTGTCCCCAGCATGCTCATGTGTCTGAATACGTAAGGGGTTTTAACTGGTTATACTGTTGGTGGAAGTTACAGAACCTTTGGGGATATGAGGCTCAGCTGACAAAAGTGACCTAGAGGAGGTTCT